TGTCATGATTATATATATAAACAAAATCAAAATGATTATACACACACACATATTCAATACCAAAAAGAAAAAGATAAAACAATTTCAATTATGTGTAATAATTTTTACTCTTTCATTTAAAATTAAAAGAAAAACATACTTCCTCCACTAGTGGTGAGTACGAAAAGAAGACACTCCCTCAAGAATGTTCAAAAACAAAAGGAAAAAGACAAATTAGAGACAAATTAGTGCTGATGCCATGTGAAGAAAAAATATGATGGAGAAGAAAAATAATAATAATACTCCGTAGTATGTTCCTTCAACCTTTTATTGGAGTCTTAAAATCATTCCCCTCTTTCTCTCTCTTAAGCATATACTCCGTAGAAAAAAAATTATATGCAACAAGAAGAAAACACTACTAGAAAGTTTCAAGTAATAAATTTTAAGAAAGTTATATGCGTGGAGGGGAGTCTACCATTTATGCATAGTTTAATTTAAGGTATGTTCATAATTGAATTCTAATTTTTTTTTATTTTTATTTTTTTTTAATATTTTATTTTAAAGCTACTCTGTACTAAATTCTACTTTGTTTTAATTTATCAAAAACATGATTTTCTGATATTATGAGGAAATTTATTCCATTTTAATTTATCTAATTTTATTTTTTATAACTATAAGTTTCTGATGTGAAGGATCCCAACTTTGGGCAATCACAGAGCATACTTCTCATAGTTTTTAAGAAAATATTTTAGTTTGTTTATGAAGAAAATTAAAATAAATATACCTTCTGAGAAGAACAAGGATTCTGGGATTTTGAGCAAATTCGTGCTGATAACGTGTTATAAAATGAGAGAAAAACTACTCAGAGATTAAGATAATAGATATAATATATTTCTGATTTCTTCTCTCTATTAACTCTTCACTCTTCTCTTATTCTTAATTGTGATTACAATGCAGGGATTAAGCCTCTATTTATAGCGGAGAAGCTTGGTATGAATACAAATACAAGTGGGAAGTACTGTACATAATTGATACTCATCAATGGTTGTCTTAATCTACTATTCTAGAAAATAGGCCTGATTAATTGAATAAATGAACAATCATTATTTTCATAACAACAACTTTGTTCTTGTCACATTAGTTTGCCGCCTTCGCAATTCTAAGGATTCATCTAACTTGAGATGCTCAATTGCTTCAACTCCCATTAAATTCGACCTGCATATTCCGATTACAACGTGCTCAGTTCGAATTAAACCCGAAAATCTTCAGCAAATACATATATTTTCAAGTAAGGAGAGAATCCCTAATTGAGATGGCAGTGTTGCTAGAGGAGATGATGAAGTCACTGGAGCTATGGATGGGGTTGATAAAAAAGACGCAGGCAATTATTGACCCAGCTCTTGACCCGGTGCTACTTGTTCCAGGAATCGCCGGTTCAATTCTCAACGCCGTCAACCATAAAACTGGTCGCTCGGAACGGATCTGGGTCCGGATCTTCGGAGCTGACCACGAATTCTGTGACAAGCTTTGGTCTCGTTTCGATCCCTCCACAGGTGATCATGTTTTCGGAGTTTTTTTAAAAAAATTTCATATTTATGTTTTTTCATGACTTTTCTGTGATGTATTTCCTCCGCCCCTTAAAGTTCTCCTATTTTGACTTTATGGAGAATTAAGGGAGGTTTTTGTATTGACTTTCAAAAATACCATTGATTTCAAAAACACCTTTGATGTGATGGTTAAAAGTAAGATGTGATGATTAGTTATTTCTAAAAAAGTATGATGTGATAGGTAGGTAAGAATTAATGGGAGTAAAAGTGATTTTTTAACAGAAATAAGGACTTTGTTAGACAAAGAAAAAAAGTAAGGAGAAGGAATTTATGAGACGGAGGGAATATTTTAGTGTAATTGGAATAACTATTTGACTAATGACATCATAATAATCATCAATGAAGTTTGGTGATGCGGAGTGCACGCTTCGTTGAGCTTGTTATGATAAAGTCTCGTTTTAATGGGGGTTCCAAGGGGGCAGCGCTCCCCTGGCACGAATTAAGGGGCGGCAGCCCTTGCGGGGTCCAAGCCGCAAAGCCCCTAGCTGGGGTCGAGACTCGAGATGCGGTGTTAATTTTCTTCCTTCCTTCGGCGGCTATAAGAATCCGGCAAAAGTCTTGGTCGCCAAGTTCAAAACTTCAACATAGTATATACTTTTTCTTGATCAACAGTTTGTGTTTTATCCGATTGATTTTGGAGTGGATGCCCAAATAATCAATCTGAAAGTGTTAGCACGACTCTCAAACAAATCCGTATTATCTACGATTTCCCCAACATTTTCAAAATTAATCCAGAAGTATAAGGGTATTTATTATTTATTTAGTTTTTTCTTTATAAACTCTATTGATACATAAAATTTCAAAATAAATTTTTGAAATGTAATTAGATAAGTGTGGCTTGCATGTGTAATTCAATGAGCTTCAAGAATATTTAAATGTCTCATAGTGGAAATGGTGGAATTGATATGGGACAACGTTGAATCTTGAATTGTTGCCATCTTAGTAAATCGTTGATATTATATATATATATATATATATATATATATATATATATTGTGGTACGGGGTACTCTCTCCGCCCCAATTTGTCCAACTTGGCACAAGATTGATAACGCTAAAACTGTGTGATTGTGAGAAAGAAACCTTTTGAACCACATATTACTTTCTATAAATGTAAACATGCACAATAAATTAGGACAGACAAAAAAACAGGCACAATAAATTGGGACAAGAAGGACTAGCAAGTATGGCGTATGAAAACTTAAAAAATACCTGCTTTTGTCATTTTTAGAAAGTGAAAAATGGAACTTGTGACATTCTTTTGTGTTCATGAATATAGGTCAAGCAGTGAACTTAGACCCCGATACAAGTATTGAGGTCCCTGAAGATAGATATGGTTTATATGCCATCGATTCATTGGACCCTGATATGGTAAGTGTATCTCACTAACTAAATTGTCGTAAGATGCAATGGTTTTCCTTCTAGTTTTGTAGTTGTATTTGGTCCATATAGTTCATATCCTTTTGAATAGACAACAACAAAACCTATTATAATCCCAATTCCATTGGGATTTGACTTTGAGTGGTCAAGATGTACACAACCTTATCCCTACAAAAATAGAGAGGTTGTTTTTGTTAGACACTCAGACCTTTGATGCTCTGCTGCATTTTCTGCCTAAAACTTCATAGAAAGTAAGAAGCAAAGGAATTTTAATGTGTCATTTGAATAAGTCCACTATTTAAACAACGCGAAAACATTGTCAATAATGACTCTTTGAATAATGCTTCCATAGAATAAGCACATTTAGCAGTTGGAAGAACCTTAAGTCAACCCCGGTGCTCTTGGGGTTAAAGGTTTTAATAACATTTTCTAGGATGGATAGTGTAATGGTGAACAATGTTTCTTCAAGCAGTTCATATATATCAAACCTAGTAAAATCTAAGTTGTTCCATGGCTGTGATTCCAAAGTTCCATGCATTAATAACATGGTTATCAAGGTGGCAAGTCAAGTCGGTGTCTCGGTGAAGAGGAGACCAATGGACTAGTTGAGTAGTCAGCCTACTAGTCGTAGACTCGTTAACAAATCACAATTAGTATTGAAATTTTTAACATTATATATATCCTCATTGACCAAAGCTAACTATATATCTTTATATGACGATATATCATTACCAAAACAAAATTATGTGTAAAGGTAGCACATAAAGTCACATAAGGAAGGGTACATAAGAAACAAATATCCATCAATCTTCAAAAACTACACACCAAGTACCAACAAAGATAGCAAGCACAAAAAGAAGTTTAAGATAAAGAGATCTTACCCATGGAGGATGATGTAGAAGAATCATGAACATGAAGAAGAATTGATTCCTGGTGAATTGATCCTGGAAGATGGGCCGCCTAGGCACGACTAGTAGTCGCTTTACACAACCGGACGACTAGTCCACCCAAGTTTCTAGGTGACAATCAAGTCGCCACCACACTAATCGATGACTTAACAACAATGATTTATAAATCTGGCTGGTCAATATGAATGAACTAGTTTTTCTTCTTTTGATTATTTCCCTGAATGTTCACATAAATGTATATCACATTCAACGCGTATTGACTAGAAGAGTAGAAGTATATCATTTGATGTTGTATTTTAAATAAACTCAAGCTTTGTGCTTTAGACTTGCAATTTCAGATGTTTGAGCACGTGTTTAAAAGTATTTTTGGTTGGAATGCAAAAAGATAAGTGGTTTTAATATAGAGAGGGAAAGCAATAACCGTATATCCTTAGCTTTTTCTCCCAGATGTATGAGCGCGTGCTTAAAAGTATTTTTGGTTGGAATGCAAAGAGACAAGTGGTTTTAATATAGAGAGGGGAAGCAATAATAGTATATCCTTAGCCTTTTCTCCCTCTAGATTTACCCCAACTGATTTAAGATTAAGCAGGTGTCTGGTGGAAGTATATACTTCTTCTATATTTTTTGACCAAAGCAGATGTAATTCAGAACTTTTTTTCCATAATGAGATTCACACTTCCAGGCTCAGATCAAAGGAAGACCACTTAAGTAAAAGACAGTTGTGTTGTGTCTAGGTTTTTCTAGATTCCAAACAAACTCGTAGTTACACACATTCCCCACCACTTCTATTATTCTTTTACGCTTTAGCTTTTGCAAATCCAAGTTCTGGGAGCTTCATATGAGCTTCTGTGTTTAATATATGATTAAAGAAATGATCAATTTAATCCAAGTAGATGAACTTACAAAATTCATTTTATTTTCTCTGCTGGAAAGGTCAATGTACGAGCCTTTACTGCATTTAAACAATCATAAGGAGAATTTCAAAACATACAATTTGACATTTGGAAATAGCATCATTTTCTCAGTTCTCCGGCTATTATGGAGGTGACTGCAACAATAGATTGTGGTGATTTATATGGATGGGTAGGTTACTCTTACTCTTCCAATTTATAGCGGTCTCTAAAGCAGAGCCAGTAATTTTTGGGGATCAAAATCCTTTGCCATAGCTAGGTCACTAATTTTTGTGGCAACCCAAATTTTAGTTTATCCTAGATCTGTCATAGCTAGCAATAGCTAGACCTACACTGTTCTCTTTCTATGCCATCTCTTTACTTTTATCCTCCCAGTCTCTACAGCCAGCCATCAGATTGTTGGAAGCCCCATCTTAAAAATCAAGATCTGGCTTTGAGTTTTGATGAAGGTAGACACTGAATAGGTACAGCCACCCCCTTCCCAGGGACAGTGAAATGGGATCTCTGGCTACTCCTCAATCTATAGGGATAATGGTCATAGTAATCATTGCTTCTTGGCCTCATTATCCATTCATCAGCATTAGTTTTTCTGGTACAACAACAATCCAAAAGAGAATGGAACCAAAAGTGAAATTTTCAACATTCAATGTCAGATTACCCTTCAAAATTGTCACATGTATGCCATGCCACATATTTCCACAACTATTGGTCATATTATTTACTGGAGGGGCTAAATGTAGTACACTGATGAAATTTATACACTAAATGTTTATAAATGAATACGAGAGGACCAAATGTGGAATGAGTATAATCCTCATCATGCTTCATTTCTTTGAATTTAAGGGAGGGTTAGATAATTTGGATTATGGTCTGAATTTGGTCAAGTTGAAACTCAAGAGATAAGTAGATCAAATTGGTTGTTAATGACTAACAGGATGTTCAGCTTAGCGTTTATTCTTCCCAATCCCATTTTAAGCAGCATGCTCTCAAGTCAAGCGTCTGGCAAAGCATTTTATGTTTTGATGGAAGTATAAAACTCAAGAGTCAAAAACATTACCAAAATGGTTAAACAAAAAATCTAGTTTCTTAAATATATGTTTTACTTTTTTTTTTTTTTTGAGTTTCACTTATAAAATGAGAATATGCAAGCTGTTGCCCACATTTTACATATCATACTTTGACACAACCATTGCAACCCTTACACTCCCACTCAAATTGAACACTTCTGCAGTGATTCCTTTTGGAAACAATTTCTGTACCGACCATTTCAAATTGAAAATTTGAATGATTATCAGCAAGCCACTTAAATTTGAATGTTTAATTTGTTGAAGTTATGGATGGGTTATTAATGAAAAAACGCACATAGTTTCTAGGCAATGATTTCTACATAAATGCAACCCTGCACCAAACTTAACACTCCATTAAGTCTTTGAGATCAATGCAGTTACCTATGGCCCAACCCAAAGGGCATGAAACATCCTTGCTACTCCCTCTGTCTAAAAAAGAACTTCTCATTGCGGTTTATGGTGTATGACTAAAGTTATTTTTAAATTATTTTACTTCAATATTGGTTTAAGGTTTTAAAAATAAATCTATATATTAAACAAATATATCAAAGATCTACAAAACAAGAGGTTCCATGACTATGTTATTTTAACAAATGATCCATGAAAAATTGTAAATAAAGAAGATATGGTCTGATCATGTGAATAGTAAATGTAAAGATCTTTTTGGGACAAAGGAAGTATCTTCTCTAGATCTTTGAGTAGTGATGTACTTAAATGATTTTATCACTTATAAAGCTCCTTTTAATGCAGATTATAGGCTGTGACAGTGTGTATTATTTCCATGATATGATTGTGGAAATGCTCAAGTGGGGCTATCAAGAGGGAACATCACTATTTGGGTTTGGTTATGATTTTCGCCAAAGCAACAGGTGAATTTTGTGTACCTTTTCAAACTGAATAAATTTAGGAGTTAATTCTGTTGTTTATCCCATTTCAAGTATTCAACAAGTTTTTGGCACCCTACTTTTCAAAATGCACTAAATTTAGCCCAAGATTTCTTAAAATCTCTTTACATGGTTAAATCCTTTTCATATTTGGGTACTGTAGATATTTTGGACTGAGTTTGGTTCATTTTAAGAAGTGGATGGCTTTAAAGTGGTCAAATTGATTGTCAAGGAGCAGAATGGAAATGTCATTATATCCAAAACATGATTAACCCATTAAATTATATTATTTTGTTCCTTCTGTATCACTATCTTCTCATTAGTGGGTGTTCCAGCTTCCAAGAGTGCCTCCTTTTACTAAGTGTTACTCTCTATTTGTTTACTCCATTTGTTCCAACATAACTCTCACTTGAGAGAGAATTTGTGTGCCAAGATAAGTTAATTATTGCACTCAAATAGCAAGAGATCATTTATAAATTCCTTTATCAATATTTTCTTTGGAATAGAGGGATTATTTATTTTGATTTTCAAGCTTTTTGCCCATGAGACATACCTACTAAAAGCCTGTTCTCTTTGTGTGATCTGATTGGATTTGATCCAATTTTATTAAGGTCCTGTCTGATTCTTGTTATATTCAAGTTATATTTAAAATTGTTTCTGATATGGTCTAATTTAATCCGATTCCAATAAGAATAAGTAATACACCCTCCGTCCATTTTTTATCTTCCCACTTTCCTTTTTGGTCCGTCCATTAATTATCTTCCTATTTCTATTTTAGGCATGTTTTTGTGTGCAAAATGTCTTCCTTGCCCTTATGTCCAGCCAAATGTCCCAGCTAAATGTCCACAAATTTTTTGTTGTTCCTTCTCCACCCAAATGTCCCGCCCATCCTGTCCCTTCTTCTTCCACCTTTCTTGTTCTTCTTCCTTCTTTGAGTTCTTTCTTCTTCTTCTTCTTCTTCTCTTTTTTTCTTCTTTTCGCTTTCTTCTTCTTTCTTCCCTTTTTTTCTTCTTTCTTCTTTCTTTGCCCGAGTGAGACTGTTAAACTGTCTCATGTCTGTCAGATTTCACACCCACGATTTTGAAAGAGCTAAGTTGCAGATAGAGCTCTCACCTCAATACTAGATCTGACCAGATCTAGATCTGCACGGAAGTGACAAAAAAATTTGTTCTTTCAGATCTTTTTGAAAATTCTGTTTTTTCAGATTTAATTGAAATTTTTGGAGGTAGCGACAGGCAGATGTGATGCGGCGGAGCAGCGAGGCAGTGGTCGGAGGTAGCGGCGGAGTAGAGCAAGGCGGCGAGCAGAGCATCGGTGAGAACGGCCATAAACACGACCCTTTACTTGTTATTTGATGGAAGGGCAAACATGGAAAGTCAAAGAGAAATTTACTTTTCCTAAATGTACGCTTAACGTCTAAGTGAGAAGATTATTAATGGATGGAGGGAGTAAGTAATAAGAATAAGTTGAATGGAACAAGCGCGAAACCCCCTTGTGATCTCAAATCATAGCTTTAGTTGAACTTGCTGGATCAAACTCTTTGGGAGCAAATGAGGTGGAATATTTCAGTAATTCAGTTACTATTAGTTATTACCAAATATAACCAAACTGGTATTTATAATTATAACCTCATCTTCATTCATCTTGCCTGAGCTCCAAAAGTTTTATTTCATTGCTCGTGTTTTGTTTTCCATTAAGAGCCTGTTTTTTAGAGCTTAAACTCGTAACTTCCAGTTTCTTCCAATTTCTTCCAGTTCCTTCTAGTTTTTTCCAATTTCTTCCCGTTTTACCAGTTCCTTCTAGTTTCTTCCAGTTCTTTCTAGTTTCTTCCAATTTCTTCCAACTATTCTCATTTTCTTCGAACTCTTTCTACTTCCCAACTAATTACTCTAAAAATGATTTTTAATATGATTATTATTATTATTATTATTATTATTATTATCATTACAACTATTATATTCATAACTATAGTTTATGATTATTTCATTTTTCATCTCACTATTTTTACGATTCACACTCATTATTTTTTCTTCAACTTTTTAATATGAATAATACAATTTTTTTCTATATTAATCTAAATGATAAAATAGGAAAACATCATTACTTCAAACTATATTAAAAGATTATTGATAAAATGGTTACATAGAAAAAAATAAAGAAGGAAAAGGAAAACAATCAGCAAAAAATCCCGCTAAACGAAACAGGAGCGGAGAAGAAAAGACCCCCCACCTTTCCCTTTATTACTCAATTTTTTCTCATTTTATTTATTTCAAAAATCTAATTTTTTTTTTTGCATTTTTCAATTTTTTGTAAAAAATTTTGAAAGTCAAAATAGTTTTAGAGAAAAAGACTAGGAGTAAAACATAAAAAAATGTACAAAATTAAGAGTTCTTTGTCTCTATTCCAAAAATAGGAGTTACAATGAAAATAAAATGTCAATCATGAAAGAAAAATAGGTTTGATTACATTACCTGACATGTCTGATATTTAAAACAAAATCTTGTAATATACAAAGTATAATTACAAATATATTATTTTATTATAAATACCTCATAAATATATTGAGGTGCAACGTACCACACTAACTTTTTAAAAATTTACATTTTTATATTTATGCTGATTTTATATTTTAAATAATTCTTTTTTGCAAAAGTAGTTTTTTTGTGTATGAAAAATAACAATACTTTTTATCTTAAAGGCATTCATTAAGATAACGTGATAATGATAATAATAATAGTTATAATAATAATTTATAACAACAAGAATTAGAATGAGAACAATATAAAAATACACTAAAATAATTTTTTTATAGTTTTTTTTAGATTTTCCATTTTTTTCTACTTTTTCCTGTTTCATCTAATTTTTTCGAGTTCATTTCAGTTTCTTCTAGTTTTTTTCGAGCCAATTCTTCTAGTTTCTTCTAGTTTCTTCCGGTTACTTCTTGTTTTTTTCCAATTTCTTCTAGTTTCTTCCAGCTTCCGGCTCTTATTTTCTAGTCTTAAAGAACAGGCTCCAAATCTTGATTAGGATGTTATATAAAATTAAGTATCCTATTCACTCCAAGGATTTTGACTAACATTTTTAAATTTCATATTTAACTTTAACAATTCTTTTTCATTGCTCGTATTTAACTTTAGTATTATTACGCCTACCGTCCCCAAATGAACTTTACGCTGATGGAGTTTAAAAACATTTTGAAAGGTGAAAGGTGTGTTGTTTAAATATGTTTAGAAGAGAGAAATGTTCAGAGCCACATATTTTTTTCCTAAAAAGGAAAAGTCAGAAGTGTAAAGTTTATTTTGGGACTGACAGAAAGGAAAGTGTAAAGTTCATTTTGGGACAGAGGGAGTAAAATATTTTACCTACATCCAATTCAGCAGTTTTGTTTTTTATGTTCATTTAAAGGTTTCATGAAACACTGGAGCGCCTTGCAGTGAAGCTGGAGTCAGTATATACTGCCTCAGGTGGCAAAAAGATAAACATCATTAGTCATTCTATGGGCGGTCTTCTTGTGAAATGCTTCATGACCCTTCACAGTAATGTAAATTTCTTCTTTCTTAAAGATTCAGTTACCTATGTGATTAAATGGTTATCTTCCATGAAAAGATATTTTCCAGGCTAGTTGGCCACGCATCCCATCATTATCATGTTTTTGGTTTTTAAAATATTCTTATATTTCTGTGGAAAAATTTCTGCTTTGATGATCATGTTCCCTGCAGATTTTTGAGAAGTACGTCAAAAACTGGATTGCAATTGCATCTCCTTTCCAGGGTGTGTATGTTTACCATAAAATGATAAGAATAGTCATTTTAAAGTATTGTTCTAGTACTTATTTTTTGGTGAATCTTTATTCAGTGTGTTATACTTCAGTTACTGAGCTCACGACTGTACTCTGACAAGTTATGCCTGAACTGTTTTCCAGTCCTTATGCTCTCTTTTTCACTCACATACCATCAAAATTAATGTCCATTTCTTTCACCTAATAAAGTAAGCATTTTTATTCAGTCCAGCAACCCACAAAATCATCCTGAAAAAAGTATATTTTGTAATCATCATTCATCATTTTGTTTTCTCTTTAAACTTGCTAATGTATATTCTGATATTCTTCCTGGCATAAATGCATTTGCAAACTGCAATTATATCGCTCTGTTTTGTATTGTATTTAGCTTAACTTTTTTGTCTCAAATGCTCTATGAGAAATATGACTTGTATTATTCTTCTAATCATTAGCATTTTTAACTATGCTCATATAATTATATGGACACTTAATATTTAGCTTATACTTTGGAGTTCTGATATTCAAAATACCTGAGCTTGTTTCAATGATGTACTGAATGAGCATGATGTTGTAAAATTTGTTTAACAGGCGCACCAGGGTATATTACCTCTACGTTTTTGAATGGAATGTCTTTTCTGGAAGGGTGGGAACAAAAGTTTTTCATATCTAAGTGGAGCATGCACCAATTGGTATGACCGCTTTGTGTTTACTTTCTACTTGTTTTGTTAGTGCATTCTTTTGTGAGATAAGTTTTTTGATATTTTACCCAAGTGTCTATCACTTATCATGCTTCAGCTTTCATCCCAAAGATTGTGATAAGCAGTATCGAAATACCCACTTCAACCTCTTTATTCTATATCAACTAATGTGATGTGTGTTAGAGTTACCTCCTATTCCCACATTGAAACAAACCACCCGTATAGCCTCACCAACCCTGTGAACCAATGTGCACCTTACACCAACAATTTTTTTTACCTTCCTATATGCTTCTCCCGAAAATGATTTTGAAATAATCATTTCTTTTGGAAGTTCCAGCCAAAACAAACGTGTCATTGTACTTGTCAATGCTCTATTTTTTGGCTTAAGTTGCTTTTAGTATAACCTAGAATCACTCCATATCAAAACACTTCTTCTTATAGAGCCATTTGATTCTATTTCTAAGAATTAGATTTTTTTCAATTCTCATCCTAGAATTAGCTAAGTGTTACGTTTGTTTAGATTCTGAAAAAAATCAGGTTTGTTTTTAATCTGAGGATTTGATTTTTAATAATCAGCTAGATAGTAGATACTTCTCAAAAGAATAAGTAGGCTCTACTCAATTAACCTTAGAGAATCTGATTGTTAAATGACCACCCAAATACACAACCAATCTCAATTTATGTTCTGGAAATTAAAGTCACCTCATTCAAAAGCAGCTCATTCTAAAATTCAGAATCAGCTTTTCCAAGAAATCAGGAATCCAAATCAAATGCACTCTAAATCTGCTCTTAACAAAAATACATCCGTGCTCTTATTCTAGACTTCTAGTGGCTATGTGGCCTTGAGTGAGTCTTGCTTCATGCCACTCTATTGCTGGTTATTCTCATTTGTATATCTTTTTATTACAGTTGTTCACGTCTATGACTATGGTGAAGTATATCTTGTGTCAATTTAGTCTGCTTTTACTGCAAGCTCATATATTTTAGCAATAAACTTATCTCTATTACCAAATTTAGAAGCTGCCCGTTGCATTTTTATTCTAATTGGCAATTGGAAATGTAGTTCTTGTTGGGTTTTGTTTTGAAGATAAAAATGTTGAACACCTGACTAGCTGACGATCTGAAATTACCTAATGACATAAGCATGCCATCAGCTTTACTTGATCATCTTATGTGTGTAATCGACTATAAACATAGCTACCTTGTATCATTTTGGATATGGAATACAATGGATCACTGTCAAATTGTATATCTTTATCCTTTTGGGACAAAAATATCCCCAGTTATTCAAGTTGTTGGTCAGTCTGATCTGGGCCCTGAGACAGCAATTGCTTGCATATGTTGCTCATAATTACAAAAATAAATTGAGGTATGCTAGGGGTTCCATAAACTTTGTACCCCAACTTGCACACCAAGCAGTGTCTGTGCACAGACAATTGTTGTCTGTGGTGTACACTGGTGTGCAAGTTGGGGTACAAAGTTTGGGGTACACCTAGCTTTTTCTAAATAAATCATGTGGTGAATTAGTCTATATTTGGTAAGTGTTGGAGCACAAGAAACCTTCATCACGAACACTAAGCCTATCTTGATGAAGATTTGTACTTCAAAGAGTTCTTGTATCTACTCTTCTTAACTTCCCTAGTCTCCTCCAATTTCAAGGATCTTTTCTCAAAGTTTATCCACCACATTTGGTAAATTTATCTTGTACATAAAGTCATAAATGTTAATTGATATTTACAACTTTGATATTTCAGTTAATTGAATGCCCATCAATATATGAACTGATGGGTTCTCCTGATTTTAACTGGGAACACATACCACTTCTAGAAGTTTGGAGGGAGAGGTGTAATAGCGATGGGGATTCTTCTTTTATACTGGAGTCTTATCCTCCGGTTCAAGCTGTATCCATTTTAAAGGAAGCTCTTGAAAATAATAAGGTAAGTTGTCATTCATCATTTCATTGTATGATACACATGCCTAAAAAATAGGAGAAATCCTTATTGGTGTTATAATAAAATTTAAAGGGAGAGCAGCAATTGTGTCTTAAAGGGAGAGCGGTATTTGTGTCTACAGCCATCACTATATAATGATATTCATTGCCGAATTCTTGTCTAGTTTGATGACCCAGACACATTAACTTTTATGTATTCTGTTTTAATATTCAGGAAATGTGAAAGCTATATAAGATCTCTGTTATTGTTCTATTTTATGCGAATTCAAGTCCTATAGTTTATTTATATGTCATGTTAGTGGAAATGTTATTGCTGTGTGTGCTCATCAATTTGCTTGAGACATTTTTTACGTATTACATTGCCACCTTCTTCAAATAATATGGAATGATTGAAGGGTTGGTTCAACTTTTGCAGGTGACGTATGGTGGTGCTGATGTTGCCTTACCTTTCAACGTTGATATTCTGAACTGGGCCAATGAAACCCGAAATGTGTTAAACCGTGCTAAGATGCCTTCTCAAGTCAAATTTTTTAATGTCTATGGGACTGGCTATGATACCCCTCATAGTGTCAGGTAGTATCTAACTGTAGTTCTATTTTTCGAATATTATACACTTCTTTGTACAAAAATAAGGTTTAATTTGATCAAAGAAAGCAAAACCTCCATGTAATTTGTCAAAAAAAAAGCTAAAAAGATGCTAGAGAGGAGCTACTTCACTTGTAATGCTTTTAGTTAAACCAACAAAAATTTTAAGAACACAAGAACCCCCTGTTTCTTTTTACTTGACCCATCCACTATTCAAACAAAACAACAACAACCCAGTTAAATTCCACAAGAGTAGGGTCTGGGGAGGGTGTGTGTACGCAGACCTTACCCCTACTCGAAAGTAGAGAGGCTGTTTCCAAAGAGACCTCCGGCTCAACGTCGAAAGTTGCATTGCTTGACTAACTGCTACTTCATTAATTAAAGAAGCGCACACAGTTTAGAGATCCATTTTGATTTATTCCATCACACCCCAAAGCCAAAAAATGGTGAAATTTTGGCTCCATCGGAGATGATGGAAATGACCCATCCACTATTCATAGGGTCAAATTTTCTCCTCTTTCTTTTGGCTATTTTTGTAACTCATTTAACAAAACAATATATTTATTTCATCTCATGTTTTCAAGGAACTTTTGATACGCTTTTTAAATATATATAAAGTATACTTTTTAAAATTTTACACTAATTTTTTTAACAAATTAAATTGAATACAACTTCAATCAAACATCGTAAACCGAGCTGGGTCAAGTAAAAAGAAACGGAAGAGGTATGATTTATGACCTTACCATAATTCTGAATTGTACAATTTTCAAACATACCACCCTTTTTGGGACAAAAAAGTGGATTCTAGTTCACTTGTGCTCAAGTTTTACTGCTAATCTAGTTCACTTCTGCTCAATTTTTACTGCTTCGCAGTTATGGAAGTGGAGATAAACCTGTCTCAGATTTAAAGCAGCTACCTTTTGTAACGGTAAACCCCTTTTATTTTGTTTGTTGGCATCAAACCTCTTGTGATTTTTTCACATTTAGCCTAGCTTATGAAATAGTTTTCTTATTATGATCAATCTTCACCTGGAATGCGTGTAGATGTTCTAGCATATATACCTCCATGGCTCCATCATCATTATACTAGAAGCTCTTTTTAGTAGTTAGTGGCTAAGATTCATTTATGTGTGCTTTTTATTTTCAGCCCAAGTACATATATGTTGATGGTGATGGAACAGTTCCAACAGAATCTGCAAAGGTACCTTTTTTCATTCTACCTTTGTGTATCAGATATTTTCATCTGTTCATATATCTTCCATAGTTCCATATCAATTTTGGATTTGCATTTGGGTTTGCTTCTCAGTTTTTTTCTTGAATATTACTTTGTAGTGGATGTGTCCATATGGGCTCAATTCCTTTTGGTTTGCTTCCATATTTTCATTTAGGTTTAGGTTTACTTCCATATTTTTATCTGTTAAAATCTGTTCCATATCAATATGTTTTCTCATGATGTGTCCAAATGCATATTTCAAGTGTTTTGAAGACAAGACTAGTTTACTTTTCCTTTAGCCATAGATCTATTAGTCAACCGGTGGCTAAAAGGATCCCCTTGAAGGTTTTGGATCCTTGCCTCCATCTGTAGTGTTGTGGCTCGGGTGGGGAACTCACTGTAGGCAGTTGTTTTGCTTTCTGGTTTTTTAGAAACGGTTTTGCTAACCATTGCGCCTAGGACATGGGTTAAGCATTCCAAATCACGAAACTTATCATTAAGTGAATTTGATGAAATGCATTTAATGTGTTCATTTCATGATAAATTTCTATATTTGGAATGTTTAACCAAAATGTTCCAAGGCAATGGTTAGCAAAACCGTATTAAAAATTGTTATTACATTGGTATACTTACCTGTAATAGTTTGGTTGGGCTCTTAGCATTAGAAGAAATAGTTTCCTTTTACTTCATTTTTCTTTGCCGTGTAGGGCATGGGTTAAGCATTCCGAATATGGAAACTTAATATTTCGCAATACAATGAAATGCATTTAATGTGTTCATTTGATTATAAATTTTCATATTTGGAATGTTTAACCAAAATGCCGTAAGTCAATGGTTAGGAAAAACCTAGAAATTGTTACTGCATTGGTGTACTCATGTATAATAGTTGAGTTGGGCTCTTAGCATTGGAAGGAATAGTTTCCTTTACAACATTTTCCTTTTCCGTGTTTGTTTGTAATGCTAAAGTGGAAAACTGTCAAACACATTGCAATTTATCATTTATGTAAATTTACACTTCCTTCTATCCCAAATATAATGTTTTATTCATACTTGGCACATAGTTTTAGGCAACATACTTTTACTTAAGTTTTCTTATATGCTCACGTGTTAGGCGGTTGGTGCTAGTAAAAATTAATGTAAGGGTAAAGAATATTCCCACCGTTTCATTTTAGTGTTTCCTCTTGCATGAGTACATAGTTTAAGAGTAGTAATAGTTTAAAGTAATGATTGTTAACCCGTGTGTTTTGATAATGACAAACCCATGTTACATTGAGCAGAGTCAAATTCTGAAAAGATTTGCAACAACAAACAACCATTTAACAAACAACAACTATGGCATAACAAAGCCTTGAAGGAGGTTACCTTTGCAACACTATGCTTCCCCCTGTTTAAGTCAACAATGTGGAAATAAAACACAAGGAGTAAAAGCATGAAGCGCACGATACTTCCCCCTTTTGGCATTACAAAAAAGGTAGGAGTAACGAGAAATAAAACACACGAGTATAATGCAGTGAAGAGCAGACATCAACAATAATAACTAATAAGGTGAGAAGTAAGGTGGAAGCTAAGAAGGTGGCGTATTTGAGGTACATGGGCAGCAATGTTGAGGAGGAAAGAGCGGCGTTACGAGTGGAGTACAAGAAAGCACGTAAAGAAGCTAAGTTAGAGGTAACGAGGGCGAAGAATGCCGCTTTTGAACGCCTCTACAAGGATATTGAGGAGAAAGGCAGTGTTAATCCACTGTTCCGGCTTGCTAAGGTGCGTGAGAGGAAGGCCCGAGATCTGGATCACGTGAGATGCGTGAAGGGCAGCGATGGTAGAGTGTTAGTTGAGACTGCCAAGGTGGCTAGGCGTTGGGGGAGTACTTTAGTGAACTCTTGATGAGTTGGGACAACCCAGGGCGTCTCGTGTGTATTGCCGGCGCATTTTCCTGGAAGAGGTGGTTCAGGCTCTCCGCGGGATGCGTAGTGGGAGAGCTTTGGGACCAGATGAGATTCCGGTGGAGTTTTGGAAGCATGCGGGTCGTGGTGCGTGGGTTTGGTTAACCAAACTCTTCAATGTTATCCTCCGGATAGCAAGGATGCCTGATGAGTGGAGGGAGAGTCTCTTGGTCCCTCTGTTTAAAGGTAAAGGTGACATTCAGAGCTGCGAGAATTACAGAGGCATCAAACTGCTTAGCCACACCATGAAGGTTTGGGAGCGAATCGTTGAGTATAGGGTGCGGAAAGGGGTTTGCATCTCTGAGAACCAGTTTGGTTTCATGCCTCGCAGATCGACTACGGAGGCCATTCATCTCGTGAGGAGGTTAATGGAAGAGTATAGGGCTAGGAAGAAGGACCTTCATATGGTGTTTATTGACCTTGAAAAGGCGTATGATAGGGTGCCAAGAGAGGTCTTATGGAGGTGCCTTGAGGCGAGAGGAGTTCCCATCGTGTACACTCGCGCGATCAAGGATATGTACGATGGGGCTATGACCAAGGTAAGGACTTCCGGGGGCGACTCAGATTCTTTCTCGGTAGGGATGGGGTTGCACCAGGGGTCTGCCCTTAGCCCTTTTTTGTTCGCCTTGGTGATGGACGTCCTAACTCAAGGTGTTCAAGACGAGGTCCCATGGTGCATGCTTTTCGCAGATGATATTGTGCTTATCGACGACACACGTGAAGGACTAAACGATAAGTTGGAATTATGGCGCCTTGCCCTTGAGACTAAAGGATTCGGAATAAGTAGGAACAAGACTGAATACATGGAGTGTCGTTTCAGCGGCCGGGATACAGAATCAGAGGTGGAAGTCAGGATTGACTCTCACCTAGTACCTAAGGTAGACAGGTTCCGATATCTTGTCTCGGTAATCCAGGCTGATGGGGAGTTAGATGCAGATGTTGGACATCGTGTTGGAGTGGCTTGGGCCAAATGGCGGTTAGCTTCAGGGGTGTTGTGTGATCCAAAGATTTCGCCTAGAATGAAAGGTAAGTTCTATCGATCCATAGTCAGACCTGCTATGTTATATGGGGCAGAGTGTTGGGCGGTTAAGAAGACTCATGTGCGTCGTCTGCATGCGGCGGAGATGCGGATGTTACGATGGATGTGTGGGAAGACAAGGTTGGATAGGATTTCGAACGAAGTTATCCGACGTCAGGTAGGCATGGCACCGGTGGAAGATAAGTTGCGGGAAGCGAGGTTGAGATGATTTGGCCATGTGAGACGGCGGGATGTTGACGCCCCTGTACGGAGATGCGAGAGGATTACAGTTATCGGGGGAAGTAAGGGAAGGGGTAGACCTAGGAAGAATTGGAAGGAAGTGATTAGGCAAGATTTAGGACTTCTCGACCTGACTGAGGATATGACCCTAGATAGGAAACTTTGGAAAACTAGGATTAGAGTAGCTGGGTAGGAGCTCGGTGTTGTAGAGGTTGTTTTGTGGTGTGTTGTATTTGTTTGGAATCTTCTGCTACTGTTTGTACTTGTTGCTTGTACTTGGTGCTTTATCTATGTTATACTGTGTTTCCTTCCATATTTTTGTGCAGGTGGAGCCGGGGGTCTCTTGGAAACCGCCTCCCTACTTCCGAGTAGGGGCAAGGTCTGCGTACACACACCCTCCCCAGACCCTACTGTTGTGGGATTCACCTGGGTTGTTGTTGTTGTTGTTAAGGTGAGAAGTACCAAAAGCGAAACAAATCCATAGAAAGAGGTTAAAGCTAACCACAATTACATAAGCCTCATAACAATATGAAAGCAAAGTTCAAAAATAGAAAAGTTAGTAACAGGTTCGCCCAGTGCCCATCACTCCATGTCCAGAAAGCGATTTCCACTCTTAAAAATAACTAAGACATCATTAATCCATTGATTTCTCATAGCCTGCCAAGCATTAGTGTTAGGAGATTAATTGAGCGCTTTAAAGAGGTAAGACACAAGTTCATTCCTTGCATCTCATTGTAGCCATCATCAATGGTGACACTTTTTTTGCACGTGACTGGGTTGAAGAGGGAGTGAGACGACGAGGCTAACAAACATCTGAGGCTCCTTCACCTTTTTTGGTCTCCTCGTGATAAAGAGAATGTTTGGTAATGATCCAAGGTTCGTTCTTGGCCATGAGTTTGGCTCCATGAGAAGAAAATTGATAGGCTTGATGGAGGAAGGTGACAAGAAGCGGATAGGGTATGAAATTTTTATGAGCCTTGCGCTTCCCCATGTACATGAAAATTAACCTTACCGAATTCACCTTAGCACTCTTTAACAACACATACATGAGTTGAAACTCCTCCCTTGAAGGTGGGGTATAGTTATTCATTTTGTCTTTGATGATATATGGTTACCAAGTATAGAACAATCCTGTGAGCAAAGGAAAAACTTGCATGCATGGATTTGAGAGAATTCTGCGGCACATTAGGAAGAAACTCGAGTATTGTAGCATCAATGGCATTGTAGAGAATATGATTCTTGTTTGTTGAGTCAAGCTCCACCAACAACCCGTCAATGCCAATAATTTTGGTTTCCAAAACATAATGGTCACCATGTTTGGTTAACTTGATAGATGAATAGAAAGCACAAACAATATCTACCTTCATAAGTTCTTGAATCAACCACAATTGAATAAGACGACTCTCTCCATCACGCATCTTCTTCTTTCTCACTGTGATGCTATCACTTGCAATTTGCTTCTCCAAACCACAAAATTCCCTCTTTTTAAATTACTTCTCCATGGTGACAAAGAGACAAAGATCTACTCGGAGTAGGGGTTTTTCTAACCCATCCTCATTTCACCAAAGGGAAGAAGAGGATCAATTTGAACAATAAGTTGAATTTGTCACTGACCCTAAGTGGTCATGGCTCAAGTTTTGGAGAGAAGAGTAGCTTCACAATTCCCGGGAGTGTTATGCTAATGTTTCGCTCATTCCTCCAAGGTACTTTGAGCATGACCAATTTTATGATGTTCTCGGTTTTAATATTTTGGTCCGTGAGATGAAAGGAAAGTGATCTTATTCAAGACGAATTTGTGTCGGTAGATTTTGTTCGTGCTTTTTGTTTGTCTTTGAAGGTGACCAAACATTGTGACCACTATGTTTTGGAATCGAAATTACTGCATTGATATGAAATTTACTGAGAAGGACTTGAATTCTAATGGGTCGTCGGTGGAGCTCGATCGAGGAGACGAGAATCATATTCTCTATGGGATCACCAAAGTTGCAATACTCGAGTTTCTTTGTTATGTGTGCTATAGGATTCTTTCAAATCCATGCTTACGAGTTTCTTGTTTGTTAATGAGATTGTTTAATGTGGTAACCTATATCATCAAATGGCAAAAAAAAACAATCATACCTAACCTTCAACGGAGGAGTTTCAACTCATGTATGTGTTGTTAAAGGGTGCTAAGCTCAATTGGGTAAGGTTCATTTTCGTCTACACGGTAAAGTGCAAGGCTCGTAGAAAATTCTTACCTTATCCGCTTCTTTTCACCTCCTAAATTCAAGCATATAAGTTTTCTTTTGATACAACCAAACTCATGACTAGACCCGATCATGGGCTTGGTCCTGACCTGGCTCGTAAAGGCCCGCCAACTAGGGCTCAAGCTTATGTTTTCGTGCTTGGGACGACCTGACTCGTATGTCATGGGGGCCGTAATTATTGAGCGCTCAATTAATCTCTTAACAATAATGCTCGGCGGGATAGGGTAAATCCATGGATTGAATTCCTTGGTTAATTTCAACATTGAATTTACTTCGAGGCGTGTAGGAGTGATGGACACTAAGTCAACCATTTACCAACCATTCTCATTTCTACACTTTGCTTTCATTTTGTTATGAGACTTATGTAATTGTGGTTAGCTTTAACCTCTTTTTATGGATTTGTTTCACTTTTGGTAAATCTCACCTTATAATTGTGGATGTATGCTCTTCACTTCATTATACCGATGTTTTTTGTTTCTCGTTTTTCCTACCTTTTGGTGATGCCAAAATGGGGAGGTATTGCGTGCTTCATGCTTCTACTCGTGCTTTATTTGCATATGGTTGACATAAATAGGGGGAAACATAACTTTGCAAAGCTAACCTCCTTCAAGGCTTTGTTATGCATTAGTTGTTTGTTGGATGGTTGTTTGTTGCAAATATGTTCAGGATTTGACTCTGCTCAATGAAGCATTGGTTTGTCATTATCAAAAAGAGAGAAGTTGTTGACCCATGTGTTTTGATAACAACAAACTTTTGGCTTCATGTGAAGAAAGCTTTTATGAATGGTTTCAATGCTTATCAACATTCAACTACATGAATGCTTTTCAAGAACTCAAGATGCTTTTCAAGGATTCAAGACTTCAGTTAGTTAGTCTTTTTAGGTCCTTAGTACTTTGTATGTGAATGTAGAGCTTTTTTGTTGAGTTTTTTAGTCTCTTATAGCAATACAAATGAATGTTCATATTGCTACACTTGAATGTTGTTGAACTTCAGAATGTCTAGTTTCAGTATAACATTCAAATGTTCACTTCTGTACATTCGAATGTTTGGGAGGATTAGAGTCTAAAACCATGAAAAGTCGAATGTTACCTCTAATACCTTCGAATTTTCACAGGTTCAGAGTCTGCTAAAACTCATGAACTTTTGAATTGCTATACATGAAGCATTCGAATGTTGGAGAATCAAAACTGATCCAACTTTCTAAAGTTGAAGAAACATTCAAATCTTGCCCTTCTAACATTAGAATGTTGTCTGTGACCGTATCTGAAAACTGCTTTAAATTATTTCTAACATTCAAATGTTTTGTGCCGTCATTTGAATGTTTGTCGGTTTTAACCGCTTCCAACAACTATTTTTTGAAGTTTTTGAAGGCCTTTTTATACTCTCTCCTCCGTAACTTTTCCTTGTCCTAAGGCACGAAATTCCTTAAGTCTTACACATATTTTCCAGAGATCAAAACCTTCGTTGTCCTCCAAATTTTCAATCTTCCAAGCATACAAAATCCTTGTGATTATCATTCTTGCTTGAGTCATTTTTGGAGAGCATGTGTTACCTTATTCTTCTAAGATCTTGTAACGACAGCATATATACTCGATTGGAGTACTTTTCCGATGTGCAAACTTATATTTCTTATTTTGTGTAAGGGTATTGTATAACTTGGTGCCAAGGGGTAGAAATCCTAAGTCTTGTGAAATCAAGTTCTCGAATTGTATTCGGATTGTCAAACTCCGTTAAGTTTGAGAAGATTAATGGAATCTTGGGCACGTTTGTTCGGGGACTAGACGTAGGCATTAGGTCGAGCGCCCGAGCCATTATACGTTGTTGTCTTGCACTTCTCTTCTCTTTTCCTGTGTTTTTATTTCTTGGGGTGGTCCTGCAATTTTTGGCTTTGCGAAAATCTATCATAGTTGGAAAAACACCTCTATTCACTCCCCCCCCCTCTGGAGGGTGAGTGTGGTGGTGTTACAGTGATGTTGGGTAGGGCCGTATAAAGAAGAAAGTGAAAAGTAAAGGGAATTTATTTTATAAAATGGGTCCTTTCCAAAATTAGAAATAGGAACACTCATATGGAACACCCCAAAAAAAGTTAGAATTCATGAAACAGAAGGAATATATTTGATAGTGAAACTGTTACCATTATTGGAATGGGATTAAAAAAAAGGAGATTGGGATATGTTCTTTTGGAAGGAACATAATTCATAATTGTGGGGTTGCATTAGGCAGGATAACTGGTGAGTGACTGTCTTGTATTAATCCATGTACAGGCAGATGGGCTTAATGCAGAAGCAAGGGTGGGAGTGCCTGGGGACCACCGAGGAATCCTATGTGATCGTCATGTCTTCAGGATTGTCAAGCACTGGCTGAAGGCAGATCACGATCCTTTCTATAACCCCGTTAATGATTATGTCATCCTGCCAACTCTGTTTGATCACATGGAGAGGCACCTTGAGGAAGGTGGCTTGCAGATAACTTCCTTCAAAGATGAATGGGAAATCATACCAGAAAATGAGATTGACAGGGAAGAAGAGCGCGTTGTGGCTGACGAGAAGATTTCAGCCGTGGGGCCCGTTTGTGTTCCCCATGTTGGAGACAATAGGACCTCACGGGAAGAGGCTGCTGCTGCTGCTCCTGCTGTGAGTGTTCTTCACTCTACTCTCGAGAGCTGTCACGCTGAGCTGATTAATGCCATGTCGGTCTCTACTAATGCTTGAAGTGATTGTTGTGTCGGGATGATTATGGGTGTATATTGCAAAGATTGGTTATGAAACACTAATCGACATGTCTTATATGATCCACTTGTGCATATATATAAAGCATTGCTGTAATAACATATGTGTATACACTTTCAAGTAGTTGTAAGATGGAGCATGACTGAGTTGTGTCTGTGTATATAGTTGTGGCTCCACATTTGTGTCTTTATTTTCGTGGCTACGGGTTAGGTTTGTTCTAGGTTGGTTGTGCTTGAATTGTTGATGTACCCAACGTATTTTGGGTAATCCGTTTCAAAACGTAATTCCCGTGAACCAAAAGAATATGTATTTTTTAGCAATGTATACATATTATCTTCTGATAAATAATCAGTGAAATCAAATAAGACACATTAAATATTTCTATTAGAAACAATCACACTTGTGCACATAATTATCCCTCCGATCTCAAAAAAATTGGATTTTACGGGATTTCTGGTAATTTCAAAGGGTGCTTTATGGGTAGAAGATCACTCCTCTTCTAGCATATTACCATAATTTGATATTTCCAATCAAACTTAATAAATTTTAATCATCAACTATTTTCAAATTATATTGCATATTACTCTACAATAGAATGAAATAAGAATTTGAAAATTCTCAAGAAGTTAAATGTAATAAAATCAGTTATAATAACATGAGTATCTTACAATACTTGTTTAAGCGAGGTTCAAAATTCATCCAATTTGATTTGATAAAGCCAAACTAGACAACTACATCCCGTATAAATTTCTTTTATAATTGTTTTGGACTTTTGTTTTAAAGACGTTAATGTATTCTGATATTTAACACTGCTCACTTCAGAGTTTTGACAAAGCCTTTGGAAACACGGGGGAGTAATGGCAAACCAATTCTTTTCTCGTAAAAAAATTTGAAAGCTGCTTAATAAAATTAGAAGAAAAAAATCAAAGTCAAACACTAACACTGTGGGAAATTTGGAAAGAAAAGAAAATGACTTTCTCTCAATTTCCTCACCAAAATGAAAGAAATTTGGTTTTCTCACCTCTTAGTATATTTTGTGTTCTCATTTTCTTTTCCTTCCACTTCTCTCCCGTCTCAACCAAACAAGAAAACCTATTTTCCACTTCATTTTTTTTCTTTTCCCTTTCAAATTACTAGAACCAAACATAGTATAAAAGTGAATCTACAATGGCAAACTAAGGCCATGTTTTCCCCAACTTACTTTTTTACTTATTAATTATTTTTATTAGAATCAAATCAGATCAGACCAGATTAAATCAAAAATAGCTTTAAATATAACTACCATCAGATCAGAATTTATTCCAATAAGATCAAAACCAATCAAATCAGGACCCAAGAGTGATACGTATTCCTTTTGTTCACTTCCAAGTTACAAAGACAAGGGAGACATATAAGTTCACAGTTTTCTTCACAATGGCAATTTAATTCTTTTCTTCACTCCCTGAGATGATTTCCAGACTGCAGGGCAGCTTTATCGGAAAAACGATCACATCGAGATATACATAATAAAAAGATAATTACAATTCCCAATCTGTGCTTTAATAATTTGCAACGCTAATCTACAGCCCGAAACATTCACAATCATACCTGTTCTGAGGATAACAGATTAACAGTCACAATGTCCCTGAAACCTGGGAACTTTTTCT